CGGTACATAACTGAAAATCGGTTGTGACCCACCGGTGTGTCACGCGGTACATAACTGAAAATCGGTTGTGACCCACCGGTGTGTCACGCGGTACATAACTGAAAATCGGTTGTGACCCACCGGTGTGTCACATTGCAGCCAACGTGTTAAGTTTGTTGGCGACGCTACACTTTGCATCATAGCATAAATTCTGAAATAACCTTGCAGTATTTTAAAACATGCGTATATTATATACAGTGTGAGACAAATAGACGGGCCTAGTGATTAGCGTGTGGTGCTATGGAGCTGTGGGTATATATTTCGCGTCCCATTAGCGAAAAAACTACGCACTTTAGAGCTGTGGGTGAAGATCAACTCCCACTACTGAGTCAGAAAAGAACATCCCAAGAGTTGGCGGTGGGTGCTGTTAACTAGTTGTCTTTCCTCTGGTCTCCATCAGTTCAAAATTAGGACGGCCAACGCAGCTAGCCATTGAGTAGCTTTTCGTGTATATCCCAAAACAAATAAAAAAAAGAGAGAAAGAGTTTTATTTTTCTCATCAGATTTAATGGCTTTATAAATATGATTATTATATAAAATCATTTAACCCGCTAGGTGGAGCTGTTGTTATTCCTTTTAAAACACAGAACAGGATGTCTCTCAAATACTTCTGCGTAGAAGCATTTTTCATTCCGACGTGATTTTGTTTTTTTTATTTTACCCTAATCTTATCAAGATTATCTTCTAAGATGAGATGTCCGTTGGTATTCGACGCTGGATCTTAAGGTTTACAGGATATTTAATAATTCCCAGAAATCATCAAGCCTCATGGGCGGCGTGGGTAATCCATTAGGTGGTATTACTTGGAAAAGGTGTAGTTTTTCTTGGACAAGCCATTCTTTGTGGAACTCCCGAGAGAACCTTGAACTCGGTAACTACTAAAACTCATCCATTAAAAAGATGAGCTTCGGGTCATCCCAGTCCAACCTCACGGCGCATTTCAAAAACGTCCAATAAAAAGCCACCATCTGGACACACACTCAAAAACGTCCAATAAAAAGCCACCATCTGGACACACACCGACCTTTCGATTCATAGCTTGTTAAATTATAACTCTTATTGCTTTTACGAACATGTGCTCATCAAACCATTATAAACTTTCACAGGAGTATACGCAGAAACCCCAAACCATTACAAACTTTCACAGGAGTATACGCAGAAACCCATAAAGGGTGGTAGAGGAGTGTTACTTTTTCAGGGGGAAATAAAATGAGTGGCAAAGCTATACTGGGGGGGGGGTGTTCTGGGGCATGTCCCCTCTGAAACGTTTTGTAACTTCCACTAAAAAATGTGCATTTTGGTGGTATCTGAGAATGTATTTACACCTTTAAATATGTTTTATACACATATTGAAACAAGTTAGTTAGGAATGCGATCGCACCCACACCCCTGCCTACACGCATGCTTCACTGTCGTAACTTACAGGTCATGATGAGTATTCTAAACCCTCACTAAAAGATGCAGACGTCTGGAGCTTACAAAAGTTTCTTGAACCCATTATGATAACAATATAAATATTGGGTTAACTAAGCCCTGTTGAACTCCTGGTTACAGATACATGATCTCATTTTCATCAAACCATATTGGTCCCATACTGTAGTCTCACCAAACCATATTGGTCCCATACTGTAGTCTCATCAAACCATATTGGTCCCATACTGTAGTCTCAACAAACCATATTGGTCCCATACTGTAGTCTCATCAAACCAAATTGGTCCCATACTGTAGTCTCACCAAACCATATTGGTCCCATACTGTAGTCTCACCAAACCATATTGGTCCCATACTGTAGTCTCATCAAACCATATTGGTCCCAT